GCTTACAGAAATTCAAGGTAGGTTGTTAAATGAGCATTTTGTCTTTTGCTCATTTTGCCTTCCCCCAGCTATTGGTGTGGTGTCAGGGGGAGAGGGCACACCTGAAATGAGCATAGCTGGATCTTCACCTGACACAAATTGTGATAATTCAGCTCAGAGTAGTGGGAGTCACTCATAATTTAAACCAGTGCAGATAAAAAAGTCACTTAGATTAGAAATTACAACTATTATTGCAGATAATGCTATCAAATAGTGATAATTTGTGCTATCAAATAGTGATAATTTAAGTAATATTACTGAAGAAAATTTCATTACCTGTGCCAAGTATGTAGATTATGTGTAGGAATTGAACCTATCATTGCAAACCAGATATTATAATAATTAAACATCATCAGAAAAAAAAAAAAAAAAAAGCATTAGCAAATCTAGCAGGAAGATTTTTAACCTGAGATGATCTAAGATTTGATTAATTAGTAGGTTCCTGTCTCCTCTCACCCTGGCAATGGACTGTACATTCAGAAATGTATAAATTGTGACTGGTTTATCATTTTGTGTACAAACCCAGTGGCCTTTTGCATACTGGATGCTGTCTACCTGCAGCTAATTGCACTGCTGATGGCTGATGGTGACTGGCAGTGCTGCAGACTGCCAGGCTCCTTTAGGCTACTTTCAAATGTTCTCATCTTCCTGTAAGAAAACAGCCTCTGAAATGCCATTTGACACTGCAGCTGGCCTTGAGTTACCTACAGCAGGCTGTGCAATTTATAAATCACATGTGGAATGTGATTAAAAAAAAAAAAAAAAAAAAAAAAAAAAGGCCAATTTTGTTTGGGTTTTTTTCGGCTTAGGTCAGATTTGGTTTGGATGTCTTCAGCTCTGGAGGCACAGTGAGCTACTGACCTCTAGTTGAGAAAAACAAGATAGCTATTAGCTCTGGTCCTGTTTCTAAAATATATTTTCTTCCTACGTGACAGCCTGCAATGTAATTTAGTTTGTTTCTTGATGGCAACATGCAAACTTTTCATATTTTTTCCAGGCAACCCATTCAAACTATTTAAAATGAATGAGAAGGGCTCCATTTGCTTTTTTTTTTCCCCTATTTTTTCCCAGTATCTTTTTGTCTGCAGTCACAGGAATTGAGCACAGATGTGAAATGAAATGACTGGCCATTAAAATAGCAGAAGCCAAGCAGGAGCTGCAGGAGACACTGTTCTTGGAACTGCTTTACCATGTGAAATAGTGCAAAAAACTGAACACACTATTTTCTTCGCCTCTAAACCACAGTTTTGTTAGGAATGACCAAATTTTCAGTGTGCAAGAGATGATATCCTCTGTATTTATGAAAATATATAAACAGAAAAATAAATATAAAATTAATATAAACTACAATAAATATAAATGTATTGTACACAACATAGTGCAAGAGACCAGTAATTTTCTCATTTTGAAATGAACTTTAAAAAATGATGAGGAGGGATAAGTGAACAGCCCCAGGAACTGAGTGAGATCTGCTGGTCTGTTAGGACTCATCCTGTAAACAGATCACCAGATGGGATTAAGTTCTCAGCTCTTGCCTAAACTATAAAGCCACAATTTCATTATAAAGTCACAATTTTCACCCACAAATCATTATTACCAGCCTAGCAATATATCCGTAATTTTTTGTCCGTGACTTTAAAAGTTGGTTTTTTTTCCTTTCTTCCTGTCTTCCTTTCCCTGAAATGTTTTGCAGCCACCTTTCCCCTAAACTTTTTTGATGGTTAAACAAGGCAGGGTGAGGACAGGGTGACTAAATCACCTGCAGGAGATATAAGAAAGATTATGTGTTCTGTCCTTCATAGAATAAATCAGGATGTTCAGTTAATAAATAGAACTAATGAGGGTACAATATGATTATTTATTCTTGCTGCTGTTGATAGTTGTTGATATCTGCCTTTTACCTCCCTTCTGTATCTCCTGAAAACAGAGGTAACATTTCACAGAATTCTCACTTTGCTATGAAAACTTGGGTTGTTGTTTTTGTTTTGTTTTGGTGTTTTTTGTTTGTTTGTTTTTTTGGGGAGGGGGGTTTGTTTGTTTGTTTTGTTTGTTTTTTGATTTTTTTGTTTTGTTTTGTTTTGTTTTGTTTCCTTGCATTTGGGAGCAAATCTAACCTTAAGATAAAGAAATTGTAGTGGATCCTGTTCAAAGAGAGGACCAGTGGTGCTGCTCCTCTCCTGCTCCTCAAGGATGAGGTACAGCACTGCTTTTTCTCCTTGTGGTTTTATTTGTATTTATATTTCTGTCCCACTGCACACAGACCAGGGTTTCTCTCCGAATCCCATGGGAGCACCGCATCCACCCAGCTGGAGTGGTAAGCAGGTGTCAAAAAGGGTTTACTGGCTGACACTCCATTCCTCTGGCTGAGGAAATTTATGCATTCTCAGTCAGGAAATGGATGATGGAAACAGAGAAGAAATAGGTTGAAGCACTCCAACCAAAACAAAAAGAAAAAAAATGAAGATAAAATCCGTTTTTTGTGTCCTCTGAGGACAGGGTGGGTGTATGGCAGCAAGGGGGATAAGCCACCTTTCCACTTTAGAGGATATTTAAACACTGGAGCTGCCTGTTTGTAGAAGCTTCATCACAATCTGTCTCTTGGAACATGTTAAATAATAATCTGAGGGAGGATGGTACAGCCTTGTCTGAGGTGAAGGACAGGTGAATGACTAAAACTCTGAAATTTACCTGTCTGCACCTACTCCAAGGTGACAGGAAGGGGCTTGGGGGCTCTTGAATCCCATTTTCTGCTGAGGGTGTAGGAGGACAGGACCACAGTGCCTTTGGAGGTCAAAAGGTGCATGCCCAAGAGCTGTCTGAGACCCTTTCCAGTCCTGCATCCTATAAAGTTTTGCCCACTTCAGTGACTTCTGGAAAGTCAGACTCTGCCATCGAACTTTTAACTTTTCTGGATGTCTTTGATATAGATAAATAACATCCCAAAACCAGATATTTCAGCTTGATGTTTGTGTATCAAAGGCTGAGGTCTAGACGCCAATCAAGTGAACTTATTTATTTTGTACAAATTTAGATTCAGAAATTCTTATTTCCAGTGAAGTGCATTTGATCTTGGTGTGCTTTTAAATGATCTTGACTTGTTAAAGGATCATAATAATATGCATCAATTTTATTCTCAGGGATGTTAATTAATACAGGGTGTGATATGTTTAAATGAGACAACGATTAAGAGTTTCCCATTGTTCCTAGTGGAATATGTGTGTAGCAATTAACAGTCCATCTGCTGAAGAAGGCAAAAACAATTTAATTGCTTTGGCCAATGGTACAAACAAATGTAGACTGGAACAGTACTTTAAATCAGAGTGCATTTTCATTTAGATTTGCTGTGACTCTGTTATCACCAGGGACTCCAACCCATGTTCTCCTTTGCAATAAAATGAATGCAGGCACAAGTTTGGCTTAGAAAGGACATTTCTTTCACTTTTCCCTCTCTTTTTAAATGTCAGGGATTTAAAATAGGATGTGTGCAAAGTAGTGAAGCCACTCCTGTCCCTTAAATGGAATGTATTTGTGGTATGCTTGCCTAAGGTGAGCTGTTTGCTTCCAATTTTTATCTGACAACCAGTTATGCCAAACACATCCACAATCAAAAAAAAAAAAAAAAACAAATTGGTGTCAGAACCTTCTGAACCAGATGGCTAACAAACTGATTTTTGTTTTTTCCCCCATCTAAAATCCTTTAGGAAAAAAAAAATCTCAGTTTGGGTAGAAGACACAGTGAGGTGACATTTGGGTTTCAGGAATTCACAGTGTCACATCTGGATAGCAGGGCCTGACAATGCAGACACAGAAATACAGCCATGCAAATACTCAGTACTGTAATTTAGGATAGATATTATACATAAACACTCAACACAGTAATAACACATTCCCCTAATGAATGACATTTAATCAATCAATTAAAATCTGTCCAGTGTGGCAGATGCACTTGTCTACCCCCTCACCATTAGGTCTCCTTGTACTCACACAGCACATTTTGATGCACATCAAAAGTTTTCTCACTGTTTGAAAGAAAATTAATCTAATTGACTTATGTGAGGAATATGTCAGTTTATTTCCCGAAGAATTTTTATTTATACTAAGAAATATACATGGAAGCCTGAACATTTATCACCCTGAATACCCAGATTTGAGATGTTATCAGACACATCAGCCACCTGGTATTTCAATAAATCCATCTTTTGTTTCAATCAGACATAACCCTACTAAGACATTTAATAAATAACTCACATTTTGTCATCTTGGTTAACATTTCCCTGAGCGATGCATATGCTGTAGGAAAATTTTTCTTAACAGATGATTATGAAATTCAGGTATTTGCAGTATAAAAGTATTATACAGTTTAAAGGAAAGGTATAATGAATAACAAGAGAAAACTTAAATGCTTCCAGGAAATCAATCTGCAAACCTATACTTTCCCTATGCCTCTCATTAAACATTTGCAGAGGAAGTAGTGAAACTTTTTTATGTTTCTTCATTATTTTATAGCATAATAAAAATAATATTTTCAGTGGGCATTTGAAACCCTAGCCATTAATTTCCAGGGAAAAAAAAACCAACAAAACAAAACAAAAAAATCCCTGTCCAAAATGGCTGGGTAACAAGGATGTGCTTCACAGGAAATCATTGAAAATAGTCCATACTCACCAAAAAATGCACTGAAACTTTTTTTTTTTTGATTATACAAATACACTGCTGTTTACACGCCTTCTGCTCTAGAGTTAAATGAAGAAACAGCAGTGATTAATGGAGAACTGTAAAATTTTATGCATTTAACAGCATTAAATCAGGTGCATGGCACCACTGCAGTGTGAATGTCGTCGTGTTTTGTGACTTTTATTCACCCTGTGCCATCCCTGCACATGGAACCCAATGAAATAATCTGCAGACTCTCATCAGTGGTGAAATCACAACCAAACTACTGATTTTTCTCTTTGCCTTACCTTGTCCTTCTTCTGCTTTTCATCCTGGTATATTTTCCAGTGCTCCCCATCGTTGCTGTAAGCAAGCTTGTAGGACCCCACGAACTGGACGTGGCCAAAATCTTTAGCTCCTTGGGTGATTATCCCAGTGATCTTCGTAGGGATGAGCAGGTCAATCTGAACAGAACAGTCAGAACAGTTTAAAATTTAAAAAAAAAAAAACACAAACGTACGACCAACCAACCAAAAAACCAAACCCACAAAAAAACCCCGAAAAAACAAAAAAAAACCACCAAAAAAACCCACCCCACCAAGCAAACAAAAGAACCCCAAAAAGCCAAAACAAATTTTAAAAGCCCATAAAAACCTCCCAACAAACACAACAAACTGAAATAAATACATAAAAAAAAGATAAAACAGAGGAACACAAAATTAGAACACCTTCTGTTTCCAGTCTGGTTTTGCAACACAGCTTTGGGCCTCCCACTGTGTGCTGACACCATGGATAATAATTTACTTCTCAAAAGTCAATAAATTAAAATTTTAAATTTTAAATTAAAACAAATTAAATTTAAAATTTACCTTTATTTTCCTTTTTTTTTTTTTTAATTTATTTTTGATTAACCTAATGGCACAACGTTGAATAATCTCACACCTTTCTCCATTGTGCTGGGTGTCATACATGCTCCCCAAAAAACCCAGTTAATCTACACTGGGAATGATCTGCAGCTAAAAAGTGTTCCCATGTGCTGCTAATAATCAGAATACTTGCTTTTCCATTTCCTTCTCTGTTCATGAGCCCATGCTTTAGTAAGGCCCTTAAAACATTTGCTATCATGCTTCTTTTCCTCCTGAAATTCCTTCTCACTTTACACCTTTCTTTCTTTTTCTACCTGAAAAGATCAAAGTTTCTCATTTCTTGAATTTTTTTGGAGTTTTTTTTTAATTTTATAATCTTAGCACAATGCTTTTTAAAAATGCAAGGCAGGAGTCTTAAAGCCTAATAAAATCTGAGCTTTCAAGTGGTTTCCACGTGAGTCAGCATGTCTGTGCTCAGTTCTTTGTGAACCAGAACCCAGCTCTGAATGTAACAGATTTGGGCCAGATGCCTTGGATTAAAATGATCAAGAAAGAGAATGCAATAGCAAAACTAAATTGACCTAATAATGTAATTTCAGAGGCAGAATGAAGGAGTTGAACTCCCTATCAAAATTGATATTTTTTTTAAATTTGAGAGTATAACTGAGGTTTCATTCTGTGTCCTCCAGCAATGTGGCGAGCCAGTAAAAAAAGAAATAAAAGAAAAGGTGGATTTATTTCAAACAATAAATGGCTGTGAAGCAGTTGGCATCTATAAAATTGTCCCTTAAATCAGGCAAGAGAGACTCAGAGTAAAAATATTACAATAAAATGAGAGGAGTGCTGAACTCCACAAGCAGATGATTGACATGTTTTTTCAGAAAAACAGAAGTTTGAAAGTGAAGAAATAAAGAATCTCTGGCTGATCAAATGCTGAAGATCCAGTGCTGGATTTTTAGGAAGCTGAGGATCCCTGAGCAAACTCATGTTGGATGGGATGTGGGGCTGGGGAGAAGAACAGATGTGCTGTGGAGCACAAGAAATTAATAATGAGAAGAGAAATGAAAACAAACAAGCTTGAGAAGTCAGCTGGTCCTGCACAGTGCCTTTGAAAGATGGATATTGGGGTTTGGATTTGTATCCCAGGCTGGACAGGGCTTGGAGCAGCCTGGGACAGTGGAAGGTGTCCCTGCCATGGCAGGGGTGGCACTGGGTGGGATTTAAGATCCCTCCCAACCCTTCAGACCATCCTGGGATTCTGTGACAATGTAAAGAAGAAAACAACCAAAAAGTGTAAGAGTAAATTTATAAAAATAAAAGAGGAAAATTTCACTGTTTAGAGCAATCAAGCAAAGGAAGCCTGGAGATCCCAACATGGGAGCAAATAACAAGTAGTAAATAATTTTTAAGAGAGGAATTACATAAAATGTTCAATACTGAGGTACCAAAGTAGTAAGGGGAAATGTCAGGGTCTGCAGATGGCTCGAGAATTTTGGTTTTACCAGAATGAGCTAATTTATTGCCAGTAGCAATGGTGGGGCACCCCAGGATATGAAGGAAGCGTCCCCGGGAGGCAAAACTGTGTTATTTTTATTCAGTGGGGAGGGAGAGGGACTCAATCAGAGCAGGAGCCTGCTTTGGAAGCTTTCATGGATGGCTTGAAGGGACTTTTCTGTAAGGAGTGCAGGGGAGCTGGGTTCCACAGCCTAAGTGGACTCCTGGGAAATGAGCCCTGCTAATTAGTATAAGTCTTTCATGAATTAATAAACACCAGGTCTCCAGACCTTGCTTCCAAATATTTTGGAGTGCAAATGAATAGTCTGTTTTTCTAAACAGATTGATCTGGTAAGGAATCACTAATTGGTCCACACTTTCAGGCAGTTTTTGAACTAAACATTTCAGAGTCAACTTTAGATTCTCTCTATAAATAATTTTGACATTAGCATTTTACAAGTGTAACCTCTTTTTAGCAGAGAATGCTTCTTATACTAAAAGTCAATGTCTCTCCTGTTAGCTTGAAAAAATGCCTCCACAAAACCAGTTGTTTATTTTTAAAATGTTGAAAGTGAGCTGAGAGGATTTCACAAATATTTAACATGGCCATGACACTCAGAATACTCCTCATTGAAATTCAGAACAGGGAGAAAAAAAATTTCTCATTAAGATTCAGGGGATTCCAAAGGTAGGATCACAATAAATCTTTATTATCACATACATCCACTGTTTACAAAAATGTCCTGGTAATGATTGTTTTCTGCTTATATAGGACATATCCAGTGGCCTTGCACTTTTGGTCAGAAAATTATGTGGGAAGCTGGAAGGTAATTTGGCTCTGCTCAAGGTTTGTTGTTTTTTTTTTTTCCAATAAGACTTATATAGGACTGTGTAGAATATGTGTGTAGGGGCTTTTTTTTGAAACAAAAAAAAAGTGAAAAAAGAAATAATTAATAAATAGACTCTTCTTAGGTCTTGACAATGCAGACAACACATATTGCTGGAGATGAAGGAAAAGAACACAGGACATAGCACCAGCATTTCCATCTCATATTTTAGCATCTCATTTACCTGTTTATTCATAAGCACATGAGAAGTCTTCAGGCAATAAAGATCATTATTTAAATTAAAGAAATGCAGCTTTTACTTTGTAGCCTCATTACCTTCTATCTTGCTTTCCATTCTGTGTATTGAACCCACTTTAGAGCAGAAAGTTGAGGAGAATTTACACCACCTTCTAGGTAAAACATCTGCACTAAAATAGCTTAAATGAAAGTCATAACTTCCCATCAGGACACAGAACACTTTTATTCAGTTAGTGCAGCTTGCAAGTAACAGGCAATCAAACAAATTACCAGGGAGAGAAGTTGAATTAAGACACAACCAGTGTGTACCCTTCAAAGCTGAATGTGATTAACAGGATTAGAATGTGACTCTGGCTTTTTCAGTGCAGCAGAATTTAGAAGGAGGTAGAGGCAATTAGTCTGCAACTGAGAGAATCATTAGCTGGTTACAAGAAGAACCATGGTCTGCAGTTAATGTACATTTCTACAAGCAGCTGATCAAAAGGCAGTTTAGCATCTTGTGTCTGAAAGAAGCCTCTTGGGCTGTAACTATTCCCTTTCCCCACCTTGTTTCAGATGTTACAGACAATTCAGGGTGGTTTGGAGGAGAATTAATTTAAGGAGAGCACAAAGATAAATACACCTGAGTGTTGAACATTTCCAAGGAAGCGCTTGGGTGGATGTGCAGCACAAGCTCGGGGTGTTGGTGTGCAGTTCATGGGATGATCACCAGAAATTCCTTGAAATCTCAGCCATTCTCTGGCTCTCCAACACGTGGCAACACCCAACCATGCTGCCCAAAATCCCAGAGGCTGGGAGATACAGGCACGTTTATTCAGCATTCACACTGGCAGATGTCACACTCACATTCTCAGGAAAAATCCCTTCACCCAGGGATTTTCTCCTGGGAAGCTGAGAGAAAAACGAAAACAATTCTTATCTCATTTGCTTCTCCTGTGTTTTGCTCCTTTGGAATGTGGTTGGAGATTGTTTACCCACAGGTGATTGTTTCATTGGATTCTGCTGTGAGTTGTTTTGACTCTTTGGCCAGTCAGGGCCAAGCTGTGTCAGACTCTGGCAAGAGTCAAAAGTTTTCATTATTATCTTTTTAGCATTCAGTAAGTATCCTTTCTGTATTCTTTAGTATAGTATTCTTTAATATAATATAGCATCATAAAATAATAAATTAGCCTTCTGAGAGCATGGAGTCAGATTTCATCATTCCTTCTTGCCACGAGAGTCCCCACAAATTCAACAGACACCACAGGGGAGCAGGAGCAGACCTGCACCCCTGACACCACAGAGCAAGGTGTCTGCACAGCTGTGCTGCAGGGCTTCCACCTCCAGATACCCTGGACCACCTTTTCCAGCACATCTTTTAGCTTAATTTAATCTGAAGGGAACCCATGGTTTGTGAGGATAGCCCGTCGTGTGAACCAGTGCGTGAAAAGTGAAGGTGTCTTTAAAAATAACACACTCCTCATCAACCTGGCAGTGTCAAAGGAGGAGACAGAATCCCCAGGATGCAGGGAGTGCCAGGCCCTGTTTCACAGTGAAGAGGATGGTGAAATGGCTCACTGTGACTTCCAGCTGTTCATCATTTCAGGAGTATTCAAGATGTTGAGTCCTGTCCTTATACAGACATTTTGGTTCTGTTCCCAGTATAGCCAATCCTATGTTCAGCTTTTTTTGTAATTTTAGACATGCCATTTTTTTTTCTCACAGGTTTTATTTTATTTGCCTTTGTGATCCTGTAGAGTGTGGGGCTTTTTGTTTGTTTGTTTGTTTTGTTTTTTTAAACCACTCATCAGATAACACTGATGAATGCTGGTCAACCTCAATCCACTTGGCAAATACAAAATCACTGGGATCAGAAATAAAGAAACCTGGATCCAAAGAATATGAACCTGGAGAGATGCACTGCCAAGGTGGGGACAGTTCTTAAGAGGCTGCAAGAAGAAGGCCACAATTGTCTCCAGCTGCTAATTCACCCAAGTGCAGACCTGCCTATTAAATATCCTGAGATCACTATGAGGTCTC